GTGGGTACCAGGTGAGTACCGCGTCTGCACGCGCTCGCACGACACGGACGCGCGGTGCGCACATACATGCGTTCTAGGGGGGAAATAAAAAAACCCATATGTTTTCTCAGATCTCTAATTGCATTTATTCCAGAAATATAACGGTATATTTTTGTGTGTTTCATATTTTAGCCTAGAAAGTTCACAGTAAAAAACTAAAAATCTGAGTCGTAGAAGTAAAATTTTCTTTACATTTGTGCGATTTGACGGGGAATGACTCATATATGTGAAACTGAGAAAAGTAAGAGATTGCAAATTGGATGATGTCTAAACGCAGAGCATCCCCTAAATGGGTTGAATGACATCACTTCTTCGACAAAAAATATAGATCTGTTAATTTAATCATTCCCTTTTGATCATGTTTTCTTTAATGTTAATATTGGGCGATGCTGGTACATTCCCTCATGAAATAGGTAATGTACCACGTCATTACCATATTCAGTCAATATTATCTTCCATTCTCAAATGACCAATCTCCTATGATCTAAAAATAATTCGGCTATATACGTGCAAATGTGCAAGTACTAGCATATTCAAATTGGGCTGTATCGCTGTATAAATTAATTAGAACGGAGAAGACCTCAAAACGTAGTCTATTAAACGCCATTCTCTGATTCGTGAGTTGAAATACGTAGTTTCGAAACGGATAGTGAGTAGAGATTCTCGCTTCTGATTCCTGTAAGCTCTCGAAACGTGAAAAAAATTCATTCCGCTTATTGTGATTGGGTAAGCTAGTTCTTGTTGCTCAGTCACTCAAACGTCTTCTCTTTGAGACATATCAACAACTGAGAAAGCGAAGGATGTTCCGTGAAATGCAAGTGGGAGTTTTCCAATTACTCGAATATATAGTTCTGACAACGCCAATGGGGGAAAGGGAGAGAAAGTAGAAAATTCAGAAAAACGGATGTAAACATGGAAAAAGAGATAGCAAAAAATGAAAGTGGAGAACGAGTGAGAGACAAAGACAAAGATAAAGATTGTAAAAATTACACCGACAGGTGGCACTGTGAAAAAAGACCTGCAAAAACACGGATGCGCCATACGTCCTCTCGTACGGCGCTCCAGGCCTTTGGACGTCGGTGGCGGCGGCAGCAGCGGAGCGTCTGATTGGCTAATGGGGAGCGATATCGGATCGCCGATATCTCTGCACACCTCCGCCAGGGGGTACGACAGCTGTCGCGCGCGTGACGCAAAAAGACCCGATAAGCGGCCTTGGGGCACACCTCGTCGTCGCGAGCGAGCGCGATGGATAGGTAGAGAGAGAGAAAGAGAGAGAGAGAGAGAGAGAGAGAGAGAGAGAGAGAGAGAGAGAAGGAGAGAGAGGGAGGGGAAGGGAGAGGAAGGGAGGCAGGGAGGGGGAGAGAGCCTGAGCCTGGCAGAAAGGGGGAGAATGAAATAAAGAGAGATGAGAACGGAAGGCACAGATTACTTTAGGTTGGGGGCTGAGAGGTAGGGAGAAATATGTTGGACTTCTGATTGAATTCATTCAGAGTTTCTACCATTTTGTACTAACGCGATCTCAATTGCTATAAAAATTAAAAAAATCAGTTTCTAGTTACTGGAACTAGTGATTCCTTTTTATGAGAAAGAATTATTTTCTTTCTGAAGGTGTCAACATCTGAAAAATAGAAAAAAATAATGCAGGTTGGATAATAATTTTGTTTCCTTAGACTCTGTTAGAATTACTCACAAATTAAATAAGTGATAACACTATGGCCAGTACTTTCTTGGTAAGCAGATTACTTTCGCGTATGAACGAAGTGGATGACGTCAGAAGTGGAGAGATTCACCGGACTTTTCAAAGAGAAAGAGTGACAAATATGGTGCGGAAGGTAGAGGAACGTGGTGGAAATGAAGCGGGTTTAGACGACACCAGGATGCGTGCACCAAGCATACATTTATTCCCCAAACATTGATTGTAAGTGTCCACCACGTCTAAAAAGTACTTTTCTCCCAAGATGTTTACCTGGAATATAAAAACTGCATGATTAAACATTTCAATGTTTAATAATGATTGCTTATTTTTAATTTTATGTTATAAATATAACGTGATACAATTTTTGTTTCTTAATATTGCAAAAAATTTCTTTCCTTTGCTGTGACATTTGAAGTATCTCAATTTTAAGCCAGAACTCCGTCTGAAAAAAATAACAGTTTGTTGATATATCACCCCATTATCAATTAGTGAGAATGGATCTCAGACAAATATCGTTCGTGGTCTCCGAAACTCAGACTGCTCTTACGTGATTCTATGTAGTTATATTTCAACTAACAGCGTTGAAATGTAGTATACCACTAAACTAATGCAGAGTAAGTGGGCGATGAGAACAAGCGTTGTGTATTTGGGCGGGTTCTGAGGAATCCCGACGAATGGAGAGCTATGTGTTTCGCGGAAGGTTGGGAAACATTTGGAATGGTGGATTGGCAACAACAAGGCAGGTAAAGTGGGGAGCATTTGGTAACGGATGCTGTTAAAGTTTGCTGAATAACGAGTAGATACACTTCTTAATTGATTGAATTCCATGTTATAGAAAGTGAAAATAAAAAACCGTCACAAATTTCTTCTAAATTGTTATGGAAATGGGTAAAGTTATAGTGTGCAAGGCAATAACGCTAAAATTGGAATATTGAAATTGATGGCGTTAATGGAAAGATGTGATAAAATGAGACGTCGCAAGGCCACGGAAGTGAGGGGGCAGGGTATGTGAAGGGAATGGACAGGAGAGGCAACGCGATGGCCTGGAAGTGGGACCCGAGAAAATGAGAACGTGTGTTCTTATAAAGACATGGCAAACGGAATATATGCGAGAGTGGGGAAGCACGACACAAGCAAAGGTGAGAGCAGGTGATTACGGAAAGACGTGACATAGGGGAGCCACATACGTTTGAGGAAGCGGGTACAGGACAGGTGATGACTTGATAGTTAAGACACGGTCTGATTGATTTCGTGTATCCAGGCACGTAAACTGCTATGGTCATTAGCCTCGTAAGGATTGCGTATGTTTTTATTACGGGCGGTGATCTTTCTCCACTGGATGGTGAGACCCGACGCCGACCTTCACGTGACCTGTCGGAATTTTTCCCAACCAGGTTTCTCCCATCAGCTAAGCACTTCCCCAGCCGGACATACTATAAGTTCCCGACCAGTCTCCCGGCAAGTGTACTAGTGAAGGGCGTGTAAGAGTATGAGTACGTAGTAACTAAGAGTTGATAATAGGACAAGGAAGAGGAAGAAAAGATCGCGTACGCTCCGTAGCTCGTATGTAGGTTATTGCTCCGGCATTCGCCTGCTGACGAGAGTTGTTGCAGCTAGAGGAATAAGTGAGGAAACGTCGTGGAATCTGGGGGTGGAGAAGCGAAAGGCGTGGGCCCAGCGACAACGTGCGCAGGAGCGCGTGGGCGTGGAGGGGGAGGGGGGGCGAGGGCGCGGGCGCGAGGGCTGAGAGACGCGAAAGGCAGTGCGTGGAAGCGCGAACCGCCCCGCGTGAATGTGCGCTCCCCTTGAAAACGCGCGTTGGCGGGCGGCGATAGCGCGTAATGACGCGTGCTTCCCATCGGCGTAAGCGCCTAATGACTCCGCGCGCATTCGCAACGACCGCAGCGCGCCGCACCTGCCCTGCACTGACACGCCCCGCCTCCCGGCTGACCCCGCCCCGCCCCGACCCCCGCGATTCGCAACAATGCGCCCCAACAACTGTGCCCAACAAATGTGCCCAACTGCTTTGCATCGCCCTTCTCCGCCACATCACATCCCTTCCCCATACCACACAATTCTCCAATTTTTTTCCACATATCTCCTTCTCCACCCTCCTCCTCCGTCACCCTCTCACCTCTCTCTTTCTCTCTCTCTCTCTCTCTCTCTCTCTCTCTCTCTCTCTCTCTCTCTCTCTCCCTGTCAAGATTCACCTCATACTCGTATTCTTACATATATCATTTCTTGTACGCAGTCTTTCGTGTCAAAATATAAAAGAGTTCCCACTTCAAGAAATAATATTTTAATTTTTATAATATTAATTAATAAAATTAAAATAAAAAAAATATTAGAGCACTAATGGCTCTGTGAAATTAGAGAGAATGAATCACATTTTCGTACTTATTACATTATCTGTCATGGTTGCCTTCATAGTTGGTCATTTAAACTGAAATGTTTATATTTATGCCGACAAAAGTAGCAATGTCGTTTCGTTAATTTTAATAGATTTCCTTCCTAAGTATTACGATATAAATTACTGCAAAGTTTTACGCAAAATGGAAATCTTCTAAAGTCAGTTAGCATATGTGTTTGCATTTCTGAGATTATTAGGAAACGGGAGTTGAAACTTTACTCAATACTCAATACTAAATATACTCAAAGCACTTAAAAGGAATCAGTGGAAATCAAAGCACTTAAAAGGAATCAGTGGAAATATCATACTATTACACGGAAGTAGTACGGGAAGCAACACACTGCATTGAATTTCTTTACAACACCGTGACACGCGTTTCAACCACTAGGAGCGCTCCAAAGCCCACCACGCACACGCCCACCTTCCGCCTGTGTAAAACATTAAACAGACGCCGCTCGTTACGCGCCGCTGACAAATTAACCTCTTCGCCGGTAGACAATTGAAGGCGGCCGCGCGCTCAAGATTTCCTCGCCGCCAATGGCAGAGCCCCACAAACCCCTACGCACTCTCCTCCATCGCTCACTCCCTTGCCCTCCTACCACCCCTGCGTCGCGATCACAAGGCGCCGAGAATAATTCACCAGGACAATTTCGTTTATAAAACATAGCGGAAGAATAACGGGGCAGATGAGAAAGAAGTAGAGATGCGTGTGAAGGGCAGAGAAAGAGGTTTTAGAGGAAGCTGTGCGTACGCCGTAGAAAAATTATGGCGGAAATGGATTGAAGGTCGCTGTGCTTATCACGATAGTATCGTTAAAGAATTAATGAATAAGAGAAAGTAAGAAAATAGGTGTGTAAAGGAGAGAAAGTTAATGTGAGATTGTAGTAAAGAAAGGAAAGATATAGCAGCATACTTTAAGTCATTTACCACAAGCTCTGTACCACCAAACTAACTATTTTATTTTCATTTATACTTCTATATTTGTCATTTAATGAATTGTTAATTACTATAAAGGTATACATCATTCGAAAAATAAATATTTAGTATTTAATTATTTACTACATTTGTTCCGAGGAAAATAAATTCAACAACCGAGCAAGCTCGTATAATTTTTGGTCTTGAGAATATAGGATCTTTGCTCCATGTGTGTTCATTACTTTTGCACAACTGTATTTATCAAACATTCCTTTATTTTATAATTTCTCCTATCCACACATTCGTGTTTCTTTTCCTCAATTTAAAGCCTGAGGACTGTTTCCACCCGCTTTCTCCATGACTACCTGAGATTACGAGCTCTCGAAAAGAGAACAAAATATTTTGAATCCACATTATCTAACCTCAGTTTTAGAATCTTTAAAATGAAAACACTCCTGTGAGTAATAGATAATAGGGAAATTTTGTTGCCGTCGTCACAGTGACTGCAAAAAGTGCAAGAGTTAGATGACGGGGTTGACCCTATTTACAATTATATAAAAGAAAAATTTACAGGCAAGTTTGTATAGATAATGCAGGCTCTTCGTTTGCATACATTATGTCAATCTGAAGAGACGTAGGCTTTTTAGATCGAGTTTAAGCAAAAGTTACAAAACAAATTGTGAAAGAAATTTTAAAATATCGGTAGAGGAGTTGAGTAAGGCGAATTATACTAGGAAAAAAAAGACCTGACAAAAAAGGAAAACTACTTAAAATACGCTACATTGAACATCTTCTTTCTTTTTGAGTATATGACGGGATCAATATATATAGCATATTAATATTATTTATTTTTCTACAGTTTTTAATAAATGCGAATAATTGTAGGAGTCGAAAACGAACCCAAGTTGGTTTAAAATACATTATTTAATAGTTTACATTTGTTGTCTGATTATAAAATTAAAACATTTCTTTGGCAGTTTACAACATGTTTTGTTGTAATGAGTCCAAATAAACCGTGCAAATAATTATTATTCAGAGCAGTCGAACTATGAGAAAGCCATATAATTTCCATTAATTGTGACCAATTATTTTTCTTTCAAAAGAGTTAAATTGCGTGATTAGTTGTACATTTAAACTTTTCTCAATGATTATCTTCAAGTATATAATTTAAGTGCAATAATTTAATTCCTGATAAAAGCTGTAGATTTTACATCATATTTGAGTAGTATAATCGTCATAATTAAATTTCAAAAAGAATGTTATAATATTTTTCGTATATTTTTTCTACTGAGAAATGAAGCACACAGCAAAAGTTGACTAATAACAACTTAACAAAATACCTTTAATCACTAATAAAAGACGTTACTAGACAGATTACTAGACAGCATAAGACGCAGTAAGTTATCTTAACAATGCTCAAAAACAGCTGCAACAAGTTTACAGAACGCCAACCGTCATTTATCGTTGACGCCAAAAAAAAAAGAGCCCGCAAGACGCAAAGCCACGACGGCGCGCAAATTTCCTCAAGAGAGTTGGTTTTCTTTGCGGACAACTCAGCAACGAAGTGAAACGACGCCGACTTGTCTCAAGAGGGAAGACAGAAGGCTTCTTCTAGCGATGGGCGTCGTCTCGCTGACACAATTTTTAATCCAATTCTTCTTTCATTTCCCCCCCAAAAGGGGCGTAATAACGGCCGACGGTCGACGGGGTTTTACATATTCGGAAGAAAACTATCTCCCAAGTCGCCGTCGCTGTCGCCGCTTCATAACCGAAAAGTTCGCAAGTTAAATGAATCTCGGCGGCGGCGGCGGTGGTGGCGGGGACGTGAAGGGCAGCCGACGGAGTGAGGAACTGAAATAGTGAAAATTTTAATGAATCCCTCAGCGAAACCTTCAACTCAGTGACGGCAAAAGGGCGACAGGGAGAGAAAACTGGCGACAGAACTGTGAAGAGCGCAAGGGTTTGGGCGAAAGTTATGGACGGTAGAAAGTGGCAGGACAAGGGTTGTATTGACCCGATACGTTGTCTTCTGTATTGCCGATGATGAATCTTAGTAGATCGAGATGTTTGACGTTGTGTCCTGGCGATGTATGTGTTGGTGATAGTGACGGTGAAGGTAGATGAAGTGGGGATGAAAGTTTCAGGGGCGGTGGCAGTGGAAGTGCTGTTAGTGCTGGTAGTAGTGGTGGGGACGATTGTCATAGGTGTAGTGGTGGTAGTAGTGGTAGTGATAGCAGTGATGGTGGTGGTGGTGGTGGTGGTGGTGGAACTGATGGCGGTGGTGGTGGTAGTAGACGTGTTCGTGATAGTGGTGATGGTAATGGTATTTTGATACCTGTAAGCAGTGCTTGATTTGTAAAATTTTTAGGTTCCGCAACGCACCCCAAATTCATTATTCATTCAATAGAAATAGTTATATATTACAAATATAATTTAATAATTATATATCACACTAAATAACGATAATAATAATAATAATAATAATAGAAAATAAAAAAGCCAGTTTAATGTATTTGTTTTTTTACTGATAATTTTACTACATTTATGGAAATGATACAGTAAAGCGTAAATATATATATTTTTCAGTTTACGAAAGTTTGTCGAACTAAAAATTGAAAGTGCCAAGTGGTGGTTCTCTGTTTTTCCATTGTTTGATTTCTTATTTTGTTCCCTAGATACCGGAACGCCGTTCCGACGCGTTCCTTGAAGAATCAAATCCTGCCTGTACGTTTCTTGGACAAATATGCTCACTGCCCGGAGGAGAATCGAAGCCAGTAGCTCTAAGACGTCGATGGCGGGTTTTCTCCCAATCAATTCGTAAGACTGGTGGACAGTACCCAAACAACAAAAAATCGTAAGATTGGTGGACAGAACCCAAACAACAACACTTACAAAAAAAACTGATTTTTTATAGTAGCATTTTTTGATCAAACATTAAACCCAGCACAAAATTGAAAACACGCACGTTTCTTTGACAATGGGAAGCTTTTTTGAAATCAAAATGTTGCAAAAGCGACTTCTTTTGATAATTATGCGATTTATGTAAATATATTTAATAATTTGACACCCGAAAATACGATAACCTCAACCTACGATTTCCTACCTCAAATTACGATAACGCCCACCTGAAACACCTCAAATTAAGATAATTTCCAATAATAGTTGCATAGTTTTCATACTACAAACGGTACATAAAGAGGAAATCTTGAGAATTATATGAGGAAATAAAACTCTAAAAGAAGTTTTGACTGAATGTGAATATAAATATGTATCGAATAATTAGTCCTAGAGGCTACCTATCAAATATATGAGAATATCAAAGAAAGAAGTGAAGAAGATAGGCCGTCGATAGCGAACTAAACGCAGGTGAAACGATAATTCATCTCACTTGAAATACCTGAATTATTCACTTGAACTTGAACACCGGGTCTTTAGAATTTTCAAAGATTTTCGTATTTTCAATACGACTGATTTTTACACCGAACACGTTTCAAAGTTGCATACATAAATAACGTCTTTATCATACATTGCTTCAACAACAGTACTATTAGTAATGTTAGATTATAGAAGTTTCATTTTCTTAAGGTAATTCAAGGTGTTATAAATTATACAGTTTTTATATCATTATTGTTTTCATTATTATTATTATTATTATTATTATTATTATTATTATTATTATTGTTATATCATTTGCATGTTAGCTATATTATCTTATTTATGTAATTAGCTGCCATCTGGTTGTGCCAATTTGCATTTTAAAATAAATGCATC